TTCCTATACAGCGATCTGATCGGAATGATCATAAGTAACTCGGTCCCTTAAGACTCTCCGGAGAGGAAGTTCTGCCATGTGACCGGCCGACAAAACATGAGTCATCATCACCATTACACGTTGGCTGAAGGTAAGAAACACACTTCAACTACTGTGCCGCAATACAAAAAGATAGGACGTAAGATAAAACAGGATAAGGAACATTATATAATGCAAACAAGGCAACACACTAATTAGTATATGCGTCGAGATCGGTTAAACATAAGCAGGATGGGGAGGGAGAAAGAATCTCACAACACAAACGCAACTGAGGTCAGCTCCCTGCAATGCCGACTAGTGTAATTAAACAGACGCGCTCATCTTTCGGGCCCGAACCAGGCAGTCGGGACACAACAACGGACGCCAACATCAAAGTAAAGGGCTTCATTATTCTTGACCAAATCACTGCTTGGCCTTCCCTCCTCTTGTTCCATCCACAGCCCTGGCGCGCAAACAACGCATGTCGCGGGAGTCGGTGGGCTGGTATGCGCAAAGAAACCATGAGCATGCGGATGACATAGCACTTTTAAGTCCAAAGAAGTGACTATCCAAACACTACTAGACCGACACACCTCCGGATTTATACAATACCGAACAGCAACTGGAAGTGGTGGGTCGGTTCACTTACTTTGGTAAATGTGTCACCTCTGGTGATGACAGCTGCCATGCGGAACAACCTCCTCGTGGTGCCAGCTACGCGGTTCGGGTATTTCCCGTTTCTGTGAATGGTTCGGCGGCAGTGTTCCAGAACGTGGTGGGTATACGCCTAGCAAGCGTTCTCCATAGAAAAATCCACATATGTCAGTTTAACAAAAATGTGACGTGGCGAATGTAACTCGCCACTAAATAAAGTCACTGCCCCTTGTCTTCTCGGAGACATCGTACACCGGCAAGCAATTCGAGCATTGGATTCCGCCTTTGACATCGGGAGTGCTGGGCCCCTGGTATGGCTTTCGTTATCGAAAGGCGTATGAACTGAACGTTCAGTCACACGCTCCCAACGGGTGCGAAACTCTTAGTTCGCCCTGCTACCTTGTGGGTTAGGCCTTTCCGTCAAAGGCTCGGGGCCGTAGACCCCTAAGACAACCCACCTACTTCGGCCTAGGCAACCGGGTAGTATTTCGCCTACTGATGAACCATGGATACGCACAACTACGCTCTCCCTCGCTCTCATGATCCACTGTCCTACACCAACTTTACAAACATACGCCACCAATTTACATACTTTTTCCTTCTATCACTCATCCCCATTGTTGCCTAAATCTTTAAGTATGAACAACTCTACTTCCGCTGATGAAGTTCTTCTCTCGCCACTCGTCAACTCAGCCACATAGTCCTTGACAGGGGGCTGCCAGCCCCAAATTCTGCCATCTTCGTTACTGTGACCTGGAAGGCAGTTCAAACTAGCAACCCCCAACATGTGCACATTACTGCAGATCGGACAGCAAGCTGGACTTGCACGCACGCTGGAGACCCTTGAAATTGATGGCTGTTATTTGAGTAAAACGCGACCACAGGATTTCAACACAGTCTACCAGCAGCCGTCACTAGTCCAACCACAGACCCGCTTTTATCCTCGCCTTTCTGATGATGCTGAGTCCGCCGCATCTGAACAAGCTGGTGTTGGAGTCGCCCTCAGTGCTACAGCCGAGGCCGCTCTCTTTGACTGGATTCCAGTCAATAGTCGCCTATGCGCTGTGAGACTCCGTGGCTCTTGTAAAGTCAACAGGCATCGCGCAAACAAGCGTGCCCTTTTCGTGATCTCCGACTACGCGCCCATTGACTTCAGCTCGGATGCAGTCAAGGACTAGTTCTATCAATATCTTCATGAGCTGTTCCTAAAGGCGCCTGAAAGAGCGTTGTTATGGCGGGAGACTTAAACGCACGTATTGGTCTGTTGCTGCCGTGTGAACGCCACCTCGGTGGACCGCACGTGTATGATGATGTTCGTTCTGACAAGGGAGATAGATTGCTCAGTCTTTGTGCTGACCACCAACTTCTCTCCAGTACGAGCTTTCCTCATCCTGGACGCCACTATGCCATCTGGCATCCTCCATCGTCAACCCAGCGCTGGTCACAAATTGATCACATAGCCATAAGTCGCAGGTGGCGCGAATGCCCATCATTTTAGTCAACTTGTGTTAACATCGATCATGCATTGGTATATGCGATAATTTGCATGCGTTTCAGCGGTTCACAGTGGGAAAACAAACCCGACTCAACACTCACAAGTTAGAGGATCCAACGGTGAAAACGCAGTATCAACTGAGGCTTCGCGAAAATCTCGCTCAACTCCAAACACTGGATGCTGACCAATACTGGTCGAATTTGCAAAAGGCAATGCTGTCCGCCGGCTTGTCGAGTTGCGGACTTACCCGCTGCAAAACTAGAAATCCTGATACAACTTCCCGGATAGTTGAATTTCTGAACGACTAGCTGATCCCCACCAACGGTCAGCGCAGGAGGTGGTCCCTACCAAAGTTGGAGGATAGCTGCACTTCGAGGGCGCAAAGCAAAGCCCGAAACGACTGACAGCCAGTGCTAATCTGCCAACTGCTGGTTTGTACGTTTGTGAGATGTCACAGATGAGGTCCATGTCGTTAGGATACTCCAAGTCACGACGTCGTTCTCCTGGCAGTAGCTCCACACCTCCCAAGTCATGTCCCGTAAATGCAATCTCCATGACTTCGTCAATAGCGAAGGTGAAGAGTAAAGGTAACAAAGGGCATCCTTGTCTCACATCGCTGGAGATATTGAAGGGTGGCAACAGCTTGCCGTAAGCCCTCACTCTGCCCGTGCTACGCGCGTATAATGCTTGGATAATATTCACATTTTTCCCGGGCACACCTTTCCTGAGTAAACAATTCCAAAGGGCACATCGATCAACCGAATCAAAGGCACCTTTGATGTCGAGGAACATGACTACGGTGGGCCGCCAATATGTGTGACGGTGCTCCAACAATTGAAGTAAGGTGAAGATGTCGTCGATGCAGCCAGGACCCCGACGAAATCCGGCTTGCTCCTCACGAATCTGGCTTTCACGAGGGCCAGTCAGTCTGTGGAGGATTACAGAGGCAAGTAATTTGGAGGCGATGGAGATCAGACTGATTCCTCTATGGTTGCCACATTGCGAACGGAAGCCTCCTTTGAAGATGGGAACAATAACGGAGCGGCTCCAGTCGGTAGGGACAGTTTCCTGCTACCACAGTACAGTTGTGAGACCTGGCCAACTCGCACGGAAGACATAAAACGACTGGCAGTTTTCGACCACCGTTGCCTGCGTAGGATTTTTTGCGTGTGGTTGCAGCATCACGTGAGTAACGCAGATGTCCGAGAGCGAGCGTTTGGAGCAAACAGCCCATGCCTCCAAACAGTTATTCTCCGACACCGCATGTGTTGGTTCGGCTGTGTATTGCGCATGCCAGCCTATCGCCTTCCCAGTCGAGCGTTATATGCGCTTCCCGGAGGCAAATGGAAAAAGTGCTCCGGTGGACAACAAATGACGTGGAGGAGCATGAAGAATGCAATCTCGAGTTTAGCATCCGTCGGACCGGTCCGCCTTCCAGGAAGGGGACCACCTGATTTGGACTGCCATTGGTTGGAGATGTTGGAGGCTATGGCGCGCAACAGGCATCAGTGGAGACAGTGCCGTTCATTCGTGTTATCTAGTAGTTAACTTTTCATTGAAAATAAAACTCAAAAATACAAAGGATCTCAAAACGGCGTGTGTAAAACCGAAAAGTTTTGTCCACGTGCTGTTTTTCGTTTACGTCTTTTATTTCGCCATGGTTCGTACGGCATATTATCTGTAATCATATATATATATATATATATATATGTCACATCGCTGAGGTTAATTTGCGTATCAGTAAGGCCCGTGTAGCTTTCCAGAGACTCAAGCATTTATGGAGACGGCGGGATATCAGCCAATCAGTGAAAGGTAGGGCCGGTGTTACTGTATGGATCAGAAACCTGGTCAGTGCAGTGAAGACATGAAACGTTTGAACGTGTTTGGCCACCGGTGCCTGCAGAGTATAGCTTACGTCTGGTGCGAACACCGGGTGAGCAATGCTGAGGTCCGCCAGTTGGTTTATGACAAGACGCCTTGTGGTGTTACACTCGAATGTTTGCTGAAACTTAGTCGCCTACGTTGGCTAGACCACGTCCTCTGTGTCCATTGACCGGCTTCCTGGGCGTGCAGTATAGGCCGTGGCTGCAACAAGTTAGACGAAATCGCGAGTTAGCCAATCCATGATATGGCATAGTGGCATGAAGGAACTGGTTGAGAGATTGGGTCAGGCTGGTGCGTGCCTTCTTCTTGGATGGGGGCCTCGGGATGTTCCACACCACTGATTGGAGACCGTATCAGACATGGAGCAGTAACGCAGTCAGTGGCGTTCCTGCAATCGGTTTCTTGCACCTGGTTTTTAATTTTGGTTTCATTCTGACTAGTCTAACACGCCTTGCTTCCATTTTCCCTACATCATATTTGCAGCCAACCGCACTATCCTACCGGTTTTATTTATCGTGATTCTTGCGATGTGAGTCGTGGCAATTGGAGCTACTGCACTTCGGTGGTTGGATTACAGTTGTTCAACAGAACCGAGCAGATGCACCAAGTGATCAAACACTGGTAGCAACTTCGTTTCTCGTCTCAAATAGGAAGTGTAGATATGGTGTCTGAGGTAAAGCTGCTAATGCGTCAAGCCAACTTTTATAGTAAGCAAATAAGCTCACGTACCGGAATGTTATAACGGTTGGCGGCTAAACAGTATCATAGCTGTGAGGCGCAAGCAACACTAGTGAAATGCAGGTTACAGTGACCATCAGATGTAGTTAAAGCGACGGGGGCCGAAGGATGCAGATCATTAAGAGAAATGACAAATGATACATGGTGATGCGGACCAATGAAAATTACGAAGGAGTGTTGTGTGCAGAACATAACTTCAACAAGTACCAACCTGTAAACTGAAACTCCTAGCGCAAATAAAATGATCCACATCCAAAAAGACAGAAAACGAAGCGACCCAGAAACATGTCTCTAATGTGTACCATGGATCCAACTTGCAGTGTGGTAGTTGCAGAATACAAAAGAGCCAGAACAGGATGCCAACCAATGCGTGTGTAACTGTCTCTTGCAGTAAGTAAGAAGTTGCCTGAAATCGATGTGCAGATCTGATCCTAATAAGAGTGGAAAAATGAGCCCTCAATATGAATCCGAACTAACGAAGTTTCAAGCAAGAGCACAAGCAAGGATATCACGAAGACAACAATCACCTTGATAAAATAAAGTCCGAGTGTCCGAGGCTGAAAACAAAACAAAACGAAAGGTGAATGATGTAGCGATTTATTGGTATTTGACCTGACGCGGTACACATGAAAATGAATCAGCCAGAAATTCTATCCTCATCATCACAAAAACCCAGTAACTCCCTTTCTGCATCATCAAAGGCACGATTTTGCGGGTCGACATCTTCATCGTATTGCAAGCATAAATCGATCTGCTGTAAAATGTCTGAAATCGTCTCCTCACTTTCACGATTAAGTGGCATGAAATTTACAAAACTGTATCGTTCGATTAAATTAGCCAGTGCAAGAGACAATTTGGAACTTGATGGCGCGATGGAATTAGTAGCTAGCTCATCAGCATCACAGTGAACCAGGAAATTCACATCGGGATTCATATATCTGGCAAGCACGCAATTCCGCTTGCTAGGGGATAACATGTCTAACTTCGACATGATGTTAATATGGGCCGTAGCAAGCGAGACCATCGATGAGAGAGCAGAGAGTAAACCGGCCATGAATTGTGAGGAATCGACCAGAAAACGGACGTCCAAAATGAAGACCGTAACGAAACGGAAATCCCATTTCCTTTGCAAGTGCTCAACAATGCGAGGAATAATGGGCAAATGTGAAAACAGCTCGATTTGTCCTGGGCAATCAAACAATAAGTAATCCCCTTCGCAGTCACCGAGAGCAGAATCAAGCCATTCCAAATTTTGGCATAGGTACTCCATGCAGAAAACCAATCCCCCATTCGGACCTAAATGAATATCTTCGTCCTCCATGACGTCATTGACCTAGGTGTAACATAGAGCCGTGAACTGAGGCCTTACATGGATGAGATCACGAATGTCCACAAGTGGTGTATACTCAAAATATTCAGCTGCAGGATCCAGATTGATGACGTCCACGGTTCTGTGGATTGTTTCACAATGAGCCTGCATGGTGGCACAATATGTTGACTTTCCGCAGCCTGCCGGGCCGACAACTAGCTGGGCAAACCGGGGCATCTAAAATGCTAAAAAAGCGACTTGATGAAGTCGAATATAGGATAAGACAAAAACTTTTGAAAATCACAGCAAGAATATGGTAATACAAGCTATTTAATGTTATATATATATATATATATATATATATATATATATATCACAAGGGGCGGGAGAGCCTATAGTGCACTGAAGCTGGTGGTGGCTACACCATGACAGATGGTATCCTCACCGCTGCTACAGTTGTGCCATGGGCTCATGTCCTGGACGTCTGCTCGTGGCGACCGCTTGGTGGGAGTTGGGTTACGCCTTTCTCCCAGCCAAGAGCCAGGACATCAATCCGCATGAGTCAGTGAACTAACCATGTGCTAGACCCACTGACTTTTAGGTGCACATGTAATCGAAGCCCCTGACTGAGGACACGAGTCGTTCTCCTGTCAGGTGTGGGCGCCCTGCCAGTATCCTAGTCCATCCTCTTCGGAGGTTAGGAAGTGGTCGATGGCCCCCTTCCCGTAAAACCTAACCATGGGAGACAAAAGTCTACGGGTTATAAGCTCACCGCTAGATTGGCGTAGAGCATGACCGTCACGCATTGTCTCTGAAGGCAAGAGGGCACCTCTGGGTGCTCAATGGTTTGCTACTTCCCGCCTCAAGCCAGGCAGTACCTGGTCAAATTGGTACAAACCCGACAAAACCCACTTGCGTCTGACCGTTGTCACAGGTGCGTATTCTACTACGGTCGCAAAACATATGAATCGTTCCAGTACCTCAAAGGCTATGTGTGACGGACCTCAAGCAGATCCAAATCCGCCTCTCCAATTACATTCCCCAGCTGGATCTGCGCCCCACTGCCTTGTGGGTCAGACTATTGAGACAAAAGCTACGGGCGGAGTCCCTCAAGCAAACCTCAGAAGCACAACGACCACCTCACATGCGATTGCCCACCAATGCAATAGTACGCCTGCGCGCAAAGCACTCAGCATCGGGTGCTGGAACGTGCCCACACTACTAGACCGGAACTCAAATGAGGGTCCTCGAGCGACGCACCGCACTGGTCGCGATGGAATTGGCGCGTACAGCAATACTGCGGCACTCAGTGAGACCAGGCTCGCTGAGCAAGGTAAGTTGCACGAACCTGGTGCCGGCTAAACAATAATGGGTGGGAAACGCCACCTCAACATCACGTGAACATGGGTAACATTTGCAATATCCGATCGGCTAAATGGCCAGCTCGTGAGTGAACCAACAGGCATAAGTGCGCGACTGATGACTGCTCGCCTATGACTCGGAAGAGACACTTTCATAAGCACGTACGGTCCGACCATGTGTTATCCTGATAAGATGCGTGATCAATTCTAAATTCAGTTATCCTCCGTGATACAGTCTGTGCCAAGGAGCGACCGAGCTTCTCTGCTGCGTGATTTCAACGCGCGCGTTTGGCGCGATACATCGGTGTGGACAGATGTCATCGGTGCGCATGGCAGTGGTTCAGCCAATGCGAAAGGTATGAGGCTGCATTCACTGTGTACCAATCATGGTCTGACGATCACGAACACTCGGTTTGCACTGAGTGCGAGTGATATAACCACTTGGGTGCACCCTTGGAGTGGTGATGCCCAACTGTTCGATTATGTCATACGTCATGGTGATATGTGTGAAGTGCGCAAGGCAAATGTACTGCGTGGAGCTGAGTGTGGCACTAATCACAAATTGGTGCGGACCAAACTGTACATATATTTTCGTAAATCTGTGTATTGCCCTCCCGCGTGAAGTTAGCATTCTTTTCCTCGGTACTGTGAAGAAACGTATTGAACTGGAGAAGGCGACTGCTGTACGTCTGAGTGAGGTAGACTACATAGCCACAGTGGGCGACCTTTGGCGTTACATCCGCAATCAGATGACAGCTGCTGCCGAAGACACCATCGGGCGCGCAGACTGTAAGCGGCCTGATTGGTTTAATGAGAACAATGCGACGATTGGCGCATTGGTGTCGGAGAAGAACGCCGCGCTCGCTGCATATGTGGCAGACCCCGGTGACTTGGGAAAGAAGAGTAAGTTTGGCAGAACTCGAAAACGACTGACTCGACAGCGACTGACCCGAGAGCTCCGTCGCATGAAATATCCATAGTGGAAGGAGAAGGCGAAGCAGATGGAATGTTACGCCGAACGCCACCAACACAAGGGATTCTTTGACTCCTTGAGAGCGGTGTATGGATCGAGGTTGGAGCTGCTGAGGACGCTACTGGATGGTAGTTTGGGCGCTGCCTGCAAACAGACCGCATACAAAATGCAGCTCTGGCAAGAACACTTTGACTGTCTCTTGAAAAACCGTTCAGAGATTGACTGGCCTTCACTGAACGGCCTGAAGCAGCACGATGTGAAAGCGAGTCTAGCGGACACGCCGACACAGGATGGAACGCACAGAGCACTTGCTCAGTTGCGAAACGGCAAATGTGCTGGTACCGACGGGATCCCGCGTTGGTGACTGCGCTGCACCACTTGGTGCAACGCGTGTGGATTGAGGAGGAGGTGCCTCCTGAGCTGAAGGATGACCTTGTGCTACCACTGTACAAGGTCAAAAGGAGCAAGCAAAGTTGCACGAACTATCGTGGCATCAACTTGCTGAGTTGTGTGGGCAGTGATTGCGCGAATCCTGCTCTACCGCCTCGTCAGTCAGGTTGTGGAACCGAAGGTGGTAGAAGAGCAATGTGTATTCCGTTGGGCTCGCAACGCTCCAGATATGGTGCTTGCTGCTCGTAATTTGCAGGAGAAGTGTAGAGAACGACATCAGCTGTTGTACTCGCTGCTTGTGGATTTCGCCAAGGCATTTGTTACGGTGAACGGCGAGGCATTGTGGTTGGTGTTGAATAAGCTCGGCTGCCCGAGTAAGTTAGCAATTTTAATTGAATGTATGAGGGCAAGGCTGCACCTGAGTGGTGAGACCTCGGATCACTGTAGTTGTCTCCGGTGTAAAGCAAGGCTGTCTTAGCTACTGTCCTGTTTAACAGTTATCTTCATGCAATGAAATAGATTTGATGCCGCTTTTGCTTACGGTGTTAGTGTAGAGCACCGTATTGACGGTGGGTTGCCGAACATCCGTCGATTCGGTGAGAGAACTCTAGTCTGTGAGACAACCATCCGTATGTTCTTGTTTGCTGACGACTGTGCGTTGTATGCACACAGCGCGGATGAGTTGAAGCACATGACTAGTGCTCTGGCTTCCACAGCGGCCAAATTCGGACTCACCATCAACACAAGCAAAACGGTCTGTCTCGTTTAGCCTTCACCGGAGGTGCAATCTACAATGGAGCCGCGAAAAAGCATTGATGCTGAAGTATTAGAAACCACCTCCCGCTTTTGCTACCTTGGGAGTGTGATGTCGACTGATCAGCAGCTTCACAGTGAGCTGCGTATCCGCGTGTCGAAGGAAGCGGCGGCATTCCGGAAGCTTGAGTACCGAGTGTGGAACAACTATCGGCTAAAAATGTAATCTCAACAGTCTAGTAACTAGACATAGAGCCAAGAAAACCATGGAAATCAGTGTATAAGAGACAGTCATTGCGTCATAATCGTCATGGCATGCTAGCTGAAGGTGGGCAACACACTTCAGCTAATATGCCGCAAGAAAATGGAATATTTTGACAAAAATACAGAACAAAACATTTTTAGTTTGTTTGCCACACGCCGGTTTTTCTCTTTTTTGTCATTTTCAATTTTTGTAGAATTAAACATGTGAATCAACACAACACTGTACACAATTCTTCCATTGATTCCGGTTGCGGGCCATGTCTTCAAGTGTCCTAAGCCATTGGCACTCGCCATCTTTGGGTCCCCATCCTGGAAGATGTACGGGTCCAACAGCGGCTAGACACGACGTCAGCGATTTCATGTGCTGCCGCCAAGTGGAAGGCTGACCACCACGCGGTCGCTTCCAGCCAGGTCCTTGACGAGCGAATAGAGCGCGACGCGGTAGACGCTCAGGTGCCATGCGTAGGACATGACCGAGCCATCTTAACTGGCGCAACAAAACCAGTTTGTTGAAGGAAATACTTGCATTCCCCAAGACGCGACGTCGAACGTCATTACTGGTAACCCGATGTTGCCACCGAACACAACCATCAGCTTACAGTTGGCACGAAGCTGATAGTGTACAAATCCATGGTGCTTTCCCTTCTTTTATACGGCAGCGAAACGTGGACAATGTACCGGCGGGATGTGCGATATCTAGGGTGGTTCCATCAACAATGTCCGTGGCGAATTCTGCGCATCGGTTGGTGCGACAAACTTGCAGACACGTGTTGCGTCGAAGTGAAATGTATGCAGTGGACTGTATACTTTTTTCTGAGACACCTGAGGTGGCTCAGTTATGTGTGCCGTACGGATTTGACGCGGATACCGAAGCAGCTATTATATGGTCAGCTGAGTAATGAGAAGCGGCATATCGGGAAACCGAAGCTTTGTTACCAAGACATTAGCTAAGTGAGCTTATCATGTTCTAATCTTGATTGCAGGTCATGGGAATCGAAGGCGGTTGATCGACGTGAATGGCGTGATCTGATCATGAAGGCAGTTGCCGAGGTGTAGGAGAAAATCCTCATTCATAGGGAGAAGAAGCGGCAAGTGTGAAAGCGGCAGACACCAATGGGTTGCACTCCAGAGACATCGAGCGTATGGTGCTGTAACACTAGTGGTCGCGAGTGCCTGAGTCAGACAAGCCTAGTGAGCCAAAAGCGAGGCTACTTGGGGCCACCACAGAAACGACGACGAGTCCTGCAGAGAACGTAGGCAGAAAGGGCGCAGCGTTGGAAGGTACGCTGCATTCGAGTTACTAACCGCGTGCCTCCAAGATCAGTCTCGTTATTTCAGGTGGTGGGCTTACTATATAGTCCTAATACTTTACATATCTCATATTAATGTTTACCTGTCATCCTCCATCATTATACACGTCAGCTAGAGGTGGGAAACACCTCAGCTACTGTGCCGCAATGCATAAATAAAAAAGAAAATAATTACTAAAGTTGCAT